CTTGCTGCGGGGCCACGGGGCTGAGGTGATGGGCCCGCTGCCAGGCCGTGGGGCTAAAGTGAGGAGCCTGTGGGGCTGAAGTAACATGGCCGCCACGCTGAGGTGATGGGCCTGCTGCGAGGCTCAGGGAACGGGGCCGCCAGGCGGAGGCTCCTCGCTCACTGCTGGGCCACGGGGCTGAGCCTGGCTTGCTGTGGGGCTGAGGCGCCCGGCTTGCTGCTTCCTGCTTGCCGTGGCTGCGGGTACAGCAAAGGCCTGAGGGGCAGAGCTGGCAGGGAGAGGACAGGTGTATACACCTTTTTAAAACGAAACAAAACAAAAACCATGCCCCTCTCCTTCCAAAGTTTACATCTGACATTTACATCTACGTTTAAACAATTCTTGTAGCCCCGCTTTGGCTAAGAGTGGCCACGCTGCCTTCTTGCCCTGACGTGCCAGGGAGCTCAGCTCCCAGCACCGCAGCCCAAAGTGTCTGCATTTCTTCTGGTGCCCTCACTCCTGGCCCAGGAGGGAAAGGAGGTGCTTCCTTTGGGCTGTGTCTGTGAGGAAGCATCTTACAGACAGCACAGCACAGGCTGCAGGGGGGATAGTTTGCTTTCTGAAAGAAATGAGATGCATACAGACTGTAACTGAGTTGGTGGGATATCTCCAAAGCATGAAGTTTGTGTGTGTGAAAAGCCATGCTCACGGGAGGAGAGAGGTTGAAATCATCTCAGTGCTCAGGAGCATCTTGCCCTGGCAGTCAGCAGGGGACATGGGATGAAGCTGGAGGTGGATGAAGGTGCTGGCTGGGGTGGTTGTGAACAGGGGGGCTGAGGTCACGGAGGAGAGCTGTGGGGGCAGGAGGAGAGGCTGGGGACAGGGCACAGTCTGTAAGAAGCCTTCTTGCTATTCCCAGGCAGGTTGTTTCAGCTGTGTGCTCTCGGAGAACCCTGCTGATGGCTGACGCCCCTCAGCTTGCGCTGCCTGTACGTTGGCCTGCCCAGCAAGCTGCAGCGCTGCAGACCTGTGCCATAGGGGTATGTCCCAGCCCTGGCTGCACCACTGCCAGCCCTGTCCCCTGCCCTCCCTGTGCACAGCCCAGGCTGCTTTTGCCCTGCTCTCTCTGAGATGTCCCCCCCTCCATCCTGCTCCTAGGACAAACCAAACTCTTCTTTTTTTGGTAAATCACTCTAAAGTCCAAGGCAAGCAGCAGCTGCCTAATTCCACCTTCAGAACTAAAGGTTCCTCCATGGTGACGGCAGGTTTCATTTACCTTCCTGTTATCTCCCCTCCTCCTCCCCACGTTATTAGTCAACTTGCAACTGCTGAATAATGACACTCTGAAGGTTGCCGGATTATGGCCACCGGCGACACTAACAACCTCTTCTGAGTCAGGTCTGCACAGGTTGCTTGCCCTTTCCTCTGGGGCCTCGTTGCCTACCCTGTTCCCTCTCTTCAGGGGTCCAGGCAGCTGGGCAGCGTGGTTACCTGTAGGTCCTTACTGTAAGACCTATATCTTCTTTTGTCAAAGAACGCAGTAGCCTCAAGATCAGGCCCTTCTTGGTCAGGGGAAAGATGTGGATGAGGTTTCCCTGCAGTGACACCGGAAGAGAAGTTGTGTCTCCCTGTGATGACTTTTCTGTGACACGCACTATAGATGACCAGGTCACAGACACAAGCCAGCTCGTCTCAGGGGAAGCGCTGCGAGTTTTCACACAAGAAGGAAAGAGGGGAAAGGGCAGGGAGAGAGGAGCCAGCAGGAGTTAAGCGCGGAAGACTTAGGTGCAGAGACTGGCACCACGACTCTGAGGGCCCCTTTAGCATCGGAGTAGGATGGTAAACAGAGCATATGCAGTGCCAGGATACAGCAGTGTGCAAAATTCATAGCCATGCCACTTCTACTGATTACCCTTCTGCCTTCCCCCATCCGGAGGGCTCATACACGGAACTGACTGACACTGTCTATTATAGCAATCAAAGCAGTCAGCAGAGCCAGCTGTGGAGTATTTTGCCCAAGTCCTTAGGGTGGGGACACCCTTCACTTACCGTATCGACATCTGTACTGACAAACACCATTTTTTCCCCCAAGTAGTTCCAAGAAGGAGTCGACGTAGCTGTTAACTGCTTCGAAGCTGTCCCGGATGACCCCAATGCCCCAGTCTGAAGAGGATGACTCCGCTGGGGGAGCATGGTGGACGGTGTTCTCCTGCGTTGTTTCCTCAGTGCATTGCCCTAAGCCCAGGCTTAGGCACAGAACTGCTGCCTCAAAAAACAGCCTCATGCTGCAGTCCAGATCCAGGCCCCGGAGCCCCCGTGCACACAGATGTGCAGGCAGGGAGGAGTGGGACTGAGCTGGTGTGCGTACAGGGCAGGTAAGCACCCCTCTCCCCTGGACTTTAAACACTGCTGAGGGAGCTGGGATGAGGTCACGGCAATCAGAGTGCAAAGTGCACTGTGGAGATTTGGTCCGAGTTCGTCTCAGAGAGAAACACTGGGGTATAAGTTGGCACGGTCCCGCTGGAACAGGCTCAGCCCTCTGCAGTGCCAGGGATTTAGCTGCCGTGTGAAGGTGATGTCCCCTTTCTGGGACTGCTCGCGGAGGGGCTGGAGCAGGGTTTGCCTGCCCAGACACTGCAGCCCCTCGGGGTTGTAGGGAGCAGCGGAGACCCCCGACTTGTCCCACTGAGGCATTGCGTGGGCTGCCTCCCCCTCTCCCCTGCCTGTTGGGGGATGGAGAGTCTCTCCTCCTGCAGACTTTCCACTCTTCAGGCAATGGGAGGAGTAGTCCATCCAGAGACAGAGGAGCACTCCTTGCTCATTTCTGAGGTTTCCTGGTCCTGTAGCGCCATGAGATGAAACATGCGCCATGAGGTGAAACATGCACCAAGCCTCCCTGCTGCAGGGGGATTGTCCATAGCAAAACCTGTGGGATCCTGGGTCTGACATGCTTGTACAAAGGCGCTTTCCATGCCTGCTTCCCCAGAACAGACTGTGTTACAGATAACCAGCACACTCAGGGCAGAAGGACCTTAAGGTGGCACAGAGCCTTATCCTGCATGCCTCTGCTGTGCTGTGGCTAGTGGTGCCGTTGGGACCTTGCAAGCCGTATAGGGGTTGATGGAGCAGTCAGGAGTAGCTGGGGTGTAGAAACACCGAATGCAGGGAAATTCCCTGGCACGCCCCCTCCAGCTATAGGATCAATGATGCAGGTGGGTATCTGCCCTGGATGGGACGCTGGAGGGCTGGTTTTAGACGACCGGTTGCTATAGTGCTGCTTTCGTGAAATACCAGCGTTGCTGAATTTGACATGCCACGTAGGTGGCCCACAGCGCGCGAAGGCTGACCTAGACACTTAAGTCAGGTGACGGGCTTGTCGAGGTAGCTGCAGGTCCTGGTTCGGAGGTGGGACCCAGCCTGCCAGGGATTTGTGGGGTGTGCACAGCTGGTGGAGGTTTTGAAGGTGTTATTCATGAGAAAAAAAAAACAAACCACCAAGAGCAAACAACAGTGCGAATGAGTGAAAAAGAATCGGGAAGTCAAAAGGCGTGAAAAGGCTCCAGCTGCTCTCAGAAAACTTCTGATGTGTCCCAGCGCAGTAGTGTCTTCCAGAAATAGCAGCTCTGCAGGATGTCGACTGGCCAGTCTCTGTTGCGGTCTTGTCGAGGTAGCTGCAGGTCCTGGTTCGGAGGTGGGACCCAGCCTGCCAGGGATTTGTGGGGTGTGCACAGCTGGTGGAGGTTTTGAAGGTGTTATTCATGAGAAAAAAAAAAACAAACCACCAAGAGCAAACAACAGTGCGAATGAGTGAAAAAGAATCGGGAAGTCAAAAGGCGTGAAAAGGCTCCAGCTGCTCTCAGAAAACTTCTGATGTGTCCCAGCGCAGTAGTGTCTTCCAGAAATAGCAGCTCTGCAGGATGTCGACTGGCCAGTCTCTGTTGACTCCAAGGGCCAACTTTTCAGAGGTCAGCTCTGTTTGCAGAAGGCTTTCAAACAGAGAGAGCAGTTTCTAGAGAGCAGGGGAGTGGGTCTTTCAAATATACGGCAAGCGTAAGCACAAATACTGACGTTTCATTGTGTTGCAGGAGACAGCCCCTGCAGCGTTGTTACTTCTGAAATGCCAGAACCCTGCAGCACCCAACTGCTTGCATCTTTCTGTACCCTGTTCTGCCTCCTTGCTCTGGATATGGGATAAAGAGGAGAGACCACAGGTAAATCCAGGCTTCTTGAACAGGTAAGTTGGGGGGGGGGGAGGGAAAGTAGGGAAGGGGAGAAAACAAGTTGGTTATCCCTTTCCTGGGAAGTGCCAGTGAGATGTGGAGCTGGAGCCTGCTGCTGCCTTCTTGTTGTGCCTGTTTTGCTGCACGCTGCTGACTGCGTTCCTGCTCAGCGCAGCCCAGACGGGGGGTGTGAGGGTTCATCAAGTCAGTGGGCAGAGATGCTTTGGTTGTACAAGTGCCGCTGAAGGTAGCGAGGTGGCCACCCTGAATGCTGTCACACATCCCAAGGCAGGCAGCACACGGGTATTAGTCACAGGGCGGAAACTAAGCGGAGCTGCTGGATTAGAGGACGCATAAGGCGTGCAGGAGGTCCCAAGGGAACCCCAGATCGGGACCGATAAACTCAAGCGGAGAGGCAGGGAGCACCAAAAAGGGAGGTTGGCAGTGTTCGAGCTGTGGACAAGGAGTGGGGAGCACCCCAATGCTAGGTGAGAAATTAGGGTGATGTTTTGGGTTGAGACAAAGGTGCCTGATGGCTAATCGATGGTCTGTTCCGTGAAGCCTGGGGGCCTGCAAGGCCGTGCCTCAGTGGACCTTTGCAAACAGAACCTCATTGCTGGTGCAAAGCAGCAGGGATGCTACTTGTGGGCAGGCTTTGCAGGGTAGGACAGAAGAGCTCGGGCCTGTCTGGCTGTTCAGACCACACCTAGGACTGGCTTGTCCCTCACAGCTGGAAGTGGGCCACGCGCATTAGAAATTGTTACCAGGAAGCACTGGTAGCAGTCCCGTGCTTTGTCTTGCACTGTTTGGAGATGTTTATATCCCTGTTGGCTGAATCGCTGCCCTGCATGACATGCTGGATTGCAGTTGCAGTGCTCCAAGCCCTCAGGAAGGGTCTGGCAGAAATTAACGTGAAAGACCAAAATAGCTTTCAGAAGTAACTTGAAAGCATCCTGTAGAGCCACTGGGTGGCTGTGTTTAGTGCTGTGCTTTTATGCTGAGCCTTTTACGGTTGCTCTGGAGTTAATTCCAAAATATGGCTTTCTTTGTCATTGCCTATTCCCTAGAGGCTGATCCGTGTGCTGTTTAATGTGGAGAGCTGGGGAAAAAATGTTGGCAGGATTGCAGGGAATGCAAAACGCGGTGACTATTGCATGAGCTGTCTGTGCTACACCACACAGGACGTGCAGCCTCGGGGGGTGGCTCTGGGCAGAGGCAGCCGAGCCAGAGCCATTTGCAAAATCTACTGGAATTTGTTAGGGAAGCTAGGCAGGGCAGCGGAAGAGGGGGGAGCAGCCCGCAGCGTGCAGAGTCTGGGAAAAGAATCAGAAACTTTCCTGCTAGTTAGTCACTTGTTATCCTGGCGCAAAGTTTTGTGACGTACTGTCTTTAACTGCTTCACCAAGAATGTGCAGCCCCATTACCCTGCCCTAGGGATGACCCAGCCTCTTTCCTTCCTCCTGCTTCCTTCCATCCTTCCCAGCCCAGTCTCGAGACATGTGGCATCCAGCTGCAAATGTCTTGGTTGCACCCAAATTTCAAGATCTAAAAACCAGAAGAAAAAGCTGACAAATACCACACATCATCTCCCCTCCCCCCCATTTATCTCAGGGTAGGGAATCACTGCTCAGGCTCAACAGAAGTGAGCACTCCTTAAAGCAGATGTGGATAGCTTGTACCTAGCAGGTTGTCTGGCCTCTCTTTGACTCTCTGTGATTACAAATCCCCCCACCCTATGCCAGTCTTTATCTCGCTAAGGATATAGGAGAGAGGGATATTTTTTGCCATGATGATGAACTCTTGACAGCCAATTTCTGAACCTCACCTCAGCCTCAGGATAAGCAGCTCATAACCCCGTGCGTTCATTTCTCACTCGGTAATGCTCCAATATAGAGCAGCCCTCAGGCTGTGATGAGTCACTTCTAATGATACTGTCAGACAGGTGGCAGCCTGTGCTCCTGTCAAATAGGAGGGAAAGCTGACCGCAGTCGCACGGGGCGGAAACCCAGCGCACAGCAGCGCAGCTGTACGGGTGTATCCACATCCCCTGCTCCCGTGCTAACAGTAGCAGCTGCAGTCCTGGGCAAAGCTGGAAGCCCTCCTTTGGCTTCGCGCAGCAGCCGTGCCAAAGCAAATGCCAACCCCCGCATGCCTGAGCTTGGCTCCTGAAAGGGAAGCGCAGGAGCGGGTCCAATTCCCTTTGTGCGTTTCTTTTTAGAGTACAATGTTATTTATACACGGAGGCTTGTGTTGTGAGCTCTGCCAGGATCCTTCCCTTCGCGTTCTGTTAGGGATATGAGGGAGGAATGAGTGTGCAGAGACCCAGCTCTTTCTGTATTAGTTTTGGTCAGCTTGATGAATTGCTGACTGATGTTTAAGCATGGCCTAGAGGGGACTAGGCTGCTTGCGGTTAAGATTCCTGGGCAATCTGTTGTTGGTTCAAAGCCTGGCTTAGGAAGCAAATGAGTCGCTGATGACCAGAATAAGAAAAGCAGCCTGATGATGAAATGTCCAAATTCCTAGTAGAGGCGGGTCACAGTCAAGCTGTTGTAGGGAGACTGGGGGTGTGGCTAAAGACCCTGCTCCCTGAGGGTTGGGGGCTCCATTCGGGTTCTTGGTTTAGTCCAGTTTCTCCATGGATCCTGACCCGTCATTTCAGCTTTCTGTGCTGCACGTCCCCTCTCTCTCCTAAGCACAGATGCCGTCAGACCCTGACCTTTCTCTTCCTCTGTTGTCCTGCCCTGAGCAATTCGCAGGCTGTTTGCCTTATCCCTGTGCTACCCCATGTTGCTTAGCTGTAAGCTACGGCAGTTCTTACCCTGGTGGGATTTCCTCCCCCAGGTGCTGGGCTGCGGCACTGGGAGCAGCTCTGCCAGAAGGGCCCCCGTGGGACAGTTCCACTCTGGCTACCCTGGGATGGTCACAGCGCTTAAGTGCTGCTCAGGGGTGGCGCAGAGGCACACCACAATTCCCCCCCCACCCCAACACCTGTATCCTCCATGGGTGGCAGCAAAGGCTGTCTAGGCCCTGCTCTTGTGAAGGTTTTTTCACAAAAACGCAACCCAAGCAAAGGCAGGGCAACATGTCCGACCTCTGTGAGAGGTAAGGCTGAGGGCTGGGCTCGCCCTGTGAGGCCTCTGCACTGAGCCAAGGCAGTGCTTTCTGCTGGCACGGTAACAGGGGCCCAGCGGTCAAGTCTCATGGCTGCAGCTGACAGCATGTACCTGTGAAAGAGGGAGCCTGGCTTCAGCCATCACTGGTCAAGGAAACAGTGACTGAGGGCTGAGCGACTGGAAGTTAGCCAAATAGAAACACCCTGAAAGCTAGGCCAGTTGGAGTAAGCCGGAGTAAGCCCTTAAAGAACAGAGCCACGTGGCTCTGTTCATATTCTTATGGCATCGGCCCACCTAGTTTTGCTGAGAAGCAAGGAAGATGTTTAGCAGTAATGTATGGAATAGCTGGGGATGGAATACGTTCAGATTTCCAGAAAAATCAAAAACTGCAGGTATGCTTTAAACTTAATTCCAGTGGCTGCCAAATTATCTCAGTCTGAGAGCTGCGTGGGGAAGGGGGAAAAAAAAGTTGCCTGACTGCAAGCTCAGCCTAACTCTACCAGCAGTGCAAGGAAGGCTCCGTTCCACAGACGAAAGGATTAAGGCGTCTAACCAGCCCTCGCACCTCTTGCTGCAGGATCCCGATGACTATGAACTACTAGAACCCTGATTTTTGAAAGGGCAAAGCCCACGGGAATGGCGAGTGCGTCTAAGCTGCAGCAGCAGTCTTGGTTAAGGAAGAACGCAACCTAAACTTCCTACGTGTAAGTGTTCTAGCCCCCCCCCAGGATCATGCTGTTGGTGTCTGTGTTGCAAGATATTCTGATCTCTCGTCCCTCCCCAAACTGTTCAGAGTAGGTGTTTGAACTCTTGGCTTCAGGAAACACAAGACCTTATCGTCCCTGAAAAAGGGTCTTTTGGCCACCGACACTTGCCCTGGCTGTTGGCAGTACCTAGCCAGGACACAACAGAGGAGCTTGTGCAGTTCCCAGGTCTCGATTAAATCCCGTAGCAGCTGCTGCCATAAATCAGCGTTAGAGACAAAGGTGCTGAGACACGCTCCTCCCTCAGAGTCTGCCTCCTTTTCTTGAATTTTTTTGCACACAACATGCTTTCAGTCCAGCCTTTTATTCCGTCTTCTTTTCCAGTCCACTAGTGCTGAGTGTTTCCATTTGAGACCCAAAGTTCAGGTTTGAAGAGCTGTTTAATAGTAATCTGTCAAAGGAGTGTCTTCTGCACCTGCCCAGCTAGATTATGAAGTGAAGCAAATGAGCTCAGTTTCCAGGAAACACATCTGGTGAGAAATGCGTGTATGCGCAGATTTACAACAGCCATGTAAGACAAGCGTTTGATGTGGAGGATTTTTTTTCACTGCTAATGGCAGTGGCTTTTATTTTAAGCCCATCTTTTTTTACATTAAAAACTTTTGTTACAAAAAAATTTAACAGTAAGGCAGTTTCGCAATTGTCAGTCACTGTGAGCCAAACAGTTTTCAATCATCTTTAATACAAAACTAGATTCACACAGGAGCCAAGCTCTTGATCCAAAAGCCCTTTGAGAAATGAAAGGATAAGGCAGAAAGCAACAATACTGCCTGTGTAATCATTTACACATTTAGTATTTAGGTGTATGAACACTACTGCAGTGGAGAAAGATGAAATATGGATTGTCTATAACTTAAAAAAATAAAATAAAATAAAGCTTACCCTTTCTCTTCCAATAATCTGCCTTGGGAGGTTTCAGGCTAAGTAAGTGTGCCTCGGCAGGCTTGAGTTTGTGCTTTTAGGGGATTTTTCTTTTTTAAACCAAGAAAAATTTTCCACTGACAAAAGACACAAACCATTTCCGTTCTCTGAAGAACTGCACATCATTGAATAGTTCACTGCTTGAAAAAGTCATGCGCTGCAACATTTTTTAACTCCCTAAACAGTGCCTCTTAATGGATCATTTTAGAAATCCTATTGACACTAGAAATACTCAGCAGGAGGTGAGATGAGGGAGGTAAAGTGGTTAGCAAACTTCCCAGGTCACACGTTGCAAAAACAACAACTTTTGTGCTTGCCGCACCCCTTTTGGTGTTGCTTGAACAGAGATGGGAAGTCACTGCTTGATAAAACCAAACTGTAATTTTTTCATCGCGCCAACCCTTCCCTTTTTATTCGCCACCTAAGCGGCCTTGGTGTTTTCTTCCAACATGACAGTACCTAACTCGGGCACTGGCACCTTTCATCCAGTATTTCTCTTTTACCTTACATAAATTCCACAATTTTTAGCTTTTAATTATTTTAATGTCGAGGAACTCCTCTGCTCGCTTTGGGAAAAAAAACAGCTTTTCTGTAATAGCAAAACCAGATGCTGTTTCCTAAACATGTTCACAGTGATAATACACCGTTTTCTTTTTGTGCTCGTTAGCTACCCAAGACTGGCTTTTAGACAAACATTTATAGGTGCCTTTGAGCTAGCCCCAGAATAATACTCCTAACACCATATTTTCCACTGTATTCTTTTACTTGCAGGTACACACGCAAAGGAATGTGATTTTCAAAAAAAAAAAAAAAAAAAAAGATAAAGCTTGAAGTAGCCAAAGAGCTGTGAAAGAGAAAACCATGGATGAGAATGGAAATGAATCTACAGACACTGTGTAAAAGGGAGCAAACTGGGGTAAGTAGAAACATGTTACGCTTTTTAAGGGCTACAACCTAGCAAACAAAAATATGCTCCGATAACTCACTTGGCTGAATCTATTTGCATCAGACACTGCTCTTTTGTACTAGCACTTTTGATGAAATGAGTGGTACAGCAGCAAGGGGGAACTTTTTATTTTTCTTGGTTTTATCTGTTTTCCTAAGCGCTGGAGGGACTTTGTTTAACATCTTTGAAAAAGCACTGGCCAAACACAAGAAGGTGCAGGGCTAAGGATGAGCAGTTCTGTAGGTCCCATTGCTAATAGGCTCAGAAGAAACTTAACTGCATTTTTCCAGCAAAGTTTTTAGAGTCTTTTGTAACTACGCCTTCTGAAAGTAAGTATGCAGTTTTTAAAACTATAGTACCTTAAACTGCATTCTCATTGTTCCAGAGGTATGTCTAACATGTTAATAGCAAGTTTCTTCTACCTTTTGGCTCAATTTTTAAGATTTTATTGAGGCAGAAAATCCAATAAACTAAAATTGGAATTTTTTCGTTGGTAAAGACTTCTGGCTTGACACCCCCTCCCCCCCCCAGCAGTACACCATCATCATCCAGAAAATTAGACTCTTTTAAGACGGGCAGAGTCTGGTGCAGCTCACTGATTCTTGTCCTCATGCTAGTGGAATATTTAGACGTTTTGCTATAAATGCTGAAAAATGGCTTAGGAAAGCGAGCCTCCCTGCAGCCTCTGCGCCTGCTCTGCTTGCTCTTTCTGTGCTGGGAAGCAGCGGGGACGGCAGTTATTCTTCCTGCAGGGATTTGAACAGCGGGACAGAAGTTCAACGGCTACAGCAGCCACAGTCTCATCCCTCTCAGAGGCTTCATCTTCAGTCCCGGGTAAGGATGACTTGTCACAAACTAATGTACTTGAAAGCCACTAACAAGCATGTTCTTCCAGTGTGGGCACCAGTGACTCGGGGACCGTTTTTCTGCACGCTTGCCACGAAACAGAAAGACTGCGACCCTGGATGGTGGGGAGAGGAGGGCTACAGCAGCCACAGTCTCATCCCTCTCAGAGGCTTCATCTTCAGTCCCGGGTAAGGATGACTTGTCACAAACTAATGTACTTGAAAGCCACTAACAAGCATGTTCTTCCAGTGTGGGCACCAGTGACTCGGGGACCGTTTTTCTGCACGCTTGCCACGAAACAGAAAGACTGCGACCCTGGATGGTGGGGAGAGGAGCAGTGAAGTAAGCAGCACCAAAGCCTCTGGAGGAGGCCCACTTCCCAGCGCTTCCTCGCTCATGCACACCAGTGACAGCTAAGAGGAGGGGGCGGCAGCGCCAAGTGCTTTGCTGCAGCGGAGGCAGCGTCCATCGGAAAGGGATATCAAGCCATCAAGAGCAGGTACCTTCTCTAGCATCCTGTGCAAACAGTTGCCCTGCGATTAAAGGCATGTCACTGTTGTGGCATGCATTCCGCATCCACAACAGAAAAAAGAAAACATAACGCAAAATAAAAAGCATCTAAAAAAAAGATTTAGGATTATAAATAGGTCATATCTTTCTCACGAAATACTCAAGAACTGAGAGGACAAAGTTGGCTTTTCAGGAATAAGAACGTTCTACGGTGACTGCATATTATTACCTCATCACCTGAAGTCTCAAAACCAATTTGAAATTCCAGTATCCTAAGGCACAATTACTTTGATTAATGAAGATGGTAACATGCCCATCCCCACTGCCCAAGGAATAGATGTAAGTTTACTACTAAGACAGAATTAAAGCAGCATTTGTTTCTTGTTATGTGGACAAACTTACGAAGTAAAAAATGGAGGGAAGACGGGCTGTAACTTTTGTCGGGCTGCTCTGAGGCAGGCGAGCATTTGGCACAACACTGCTAAAGCGTCTTGTGCACACTGAACCGCTGGCTCACGTTTTCAAGGGTAAGAGCCAAATTCACCAGAGGCGTAAAAAGGAAGACAGTTCACAAATCTGGGCTACTGTGGAAGTGGAAAAACAGGCTAAAACAGGCAATAACCTGTTCCCCAGAGAAACACAAAGCATGCCCACAGTTTTCAACAGTAGTGGTCAGGCACTCTAGAAAAGCAAGGAGTCCAATGTCTGCGAATTTAGGAATATGAACTGGTTTAATACAGCCTTCCTAGAAAAGAGTCCTCCCATTACATCACCTGGTCAGCATTTATGCCACCATTAGCAGACTGACGTGTGCAAGGACTCTAAAGCAAACAGTCACTGGCTTTCTGTGCTGATCAGCGAGGCTAATGGTGAAGGGCGCACCACACGCAACACCACTGTTAGTTGTGGCTCTGATCTGTATTTTGTCCTTTTTTTTCTTTTTGTAACACTCATAGACCTTTAAAATCAATATATTCTGTGTATAAAACCATAACGGGATATTTTAGAGGGAACTAAAAGCATGTTTGTTTTGTCCACAGATGAAACATGGGTGTAGTTGAAGACTGAACCTGTAGTGGAGTGTTAGTCAATTGTAAACTGTAGGAGATGTGTGCATTTTACACAAATTGAATACAGAAGAGAAAAAGGAGGACTCTGCATCATTCCAACTCTGATAAAGTGCACGGTCTTCGGAATTCCTGTCCCCGTTCATGGAGCCATTTATTGGATACTGCAAAAACAGAAAGGTATTTGATCACCGTACTGGAATAGCTCCTACTTCTGTTTAAATACATGCTGTTTGATAGCTTTCAGTTAAGCAAAGGATCACTTTAACATACATACAAAAATGTGGAGCTGGTTTAACAAATCCAAGAGGAAAAGACCTTCCAATAGCTGCAAAATTACAAAAGACTATTAAAGTAGATCCCTGCTACTAAATCTGTCCTTTGTAAAGGAACTAACGAACTGTTTGGGCTGCTTTTTATCCCATCACGAAGCCCAAAGGAAAAAGAGAACTAAAACAACCCACGAACAAATCCTGAGCCTCCCGCTCCCAGGCACTTAGAACAACGTAAGGGATGCTTACCCCATTTGTTTCCAACTAGTACTGGGCAGGCCGCATGCCGTGTGCTGTAGTCGCCTTCTCCGCTTGGAAAGAGATTGTACCAGAATACAGCTGTGCCCTGGAAATCGCAGTGGAGACTCTCAGCATCTTGCTCTGTGGTGCACGCTTTCGCCCCAACACTACTTAACCGTAAAGGTAGGTGTCTTTGTATTTCAAACGTTCCTTTTAAATAGAAGATTCTCTTCCATTTTCTAAAAGTTGCTTTGCTAAGGAACGGGTCCTCCTCTGACTTCTATATCCCTTTATTTATTTATTTATTTAACTCTAAGCCCAAATTCCTTCAACTCTGACTACTTCTAGAAAAGCCAAGATAGTTTCCTAAAAAGGAGCAGCAGGTTAGTGAAGAAAGACCTTATTCCTGAGCCTTCTGAGGCAAAAGCCACAGCAGGAGCACAGAATTTCAGACAGAATTCCCTATGGAAGCCCCAAGACAAATCTCTAAAAACCACAGCAGTAAGGAACCTACGCTCAGATTTTAAAATTTTAAAAATGTGTTTTGAAGCACTGTTTTCTTTAAATGTTTTGCGGAGTCTATACATTAGAAGCAGTTAAGTCATAGTTATGTTTCGGACTTTACACACAGCAGATCAGAGGTCTTGACTCGCTTGTGTAAGAAGTTTAACACAGGCGAGCAGCACCCCTGCAATCACTAGTACTGCTCCAGCAGCTTCACTTACTGGTGTAGTACCCACGTGCTCCCAGGAACAGCACTCGTCATCTTCTTTCAGTAAGCTCACTTCATAGTTTCCTTTTCAACGTTCAAACGTACAATCTACCATCGTTTTGAGGAGATGGAATGGCTAACACAGGATCAAAAATCCTGCTTACCTTTTTAGGCCAAACGCTAGCTCCTACTTCAGGAAAGACAGTAGCTCCCCCTGCTGACACATCGCTCATCTGGAAAGGTGGAAAAGGGCACAGGTAAGTTGCAAGCCAGTGCATTCCCAAAGTGCCACGTTTTAGTAAAATAAGGTGCCGAAAAACAAAAATTTTACCTCCCCACTAGAGAGCAAAGGCTGTGTGACTAAAACCCACCCACTTTGTGCAACTTTGGCTGCACAGCCTTGTCCCAGCAAGTTACGTGCTCAAATGTTTTGGCAGTGAGCATAATATTACTATCTATGCAGATATAAAAGTGAACAGAGTGTTACATAGTTTAAAGCCTCCTTAGGAACGCATGTAAGAACAATTATTTATGAGTAAGAAGATACCCACATTTACCACTAAGTTGCTGGCTGCTTCATTTGTGAGTCACTTCAGTAAGAAATTTAATGAAGTCACTCAACTGTATAGAATATGCAGAGAAAGATATTTTTGGTAATAGCACATGACAGAAATACATCACTTACATAAAACAACCAAGTAGCAATTCTGTTGCCTGTTCCCAATTCCTTAAAAGCATCTGGCTCATCTTTCTGTGAATAAAAGCAAGCAGATTTAATAAGCATTTCATTTTGATTATGTGGAGGAGCCAGTGAGACACAGCTGCAGTGCCAGCAGCAGACAGACTCATGTAGAAAGAAGAATTCATTCCCTCTATTTGGAAGGAGGGGAGAATGCTATGAGTGCCCCTATTCATTCAAATAAAGCAGACACTTTAAAATTCTACCGGACAGGGAAGGCATGAGCCCAAGTTGCTAATGGTTAACAACAACTTTCTTGCCTGAAAATTAGTACCTGGATCCTCTTCACAGCCACAGTCTTAACTATTTAATTGCACTCACATCTCTCCTCTTGTCCTTGCCAGAGATGAGCTAGAGCAAACCTGGGACTCCAGAGCTGTCTCACCAGGACTTGTCCTAGGGGCAGAGCTGGCGCAGTAGGGGCTCCCACACATGCCCTGAAGGCAGCGCGCCAGCTCTGCTCGCTGCTGGGTTTCTGCCTGCGCAGCTCTCCCCTTTCCTGCTCGCGGCGGGGGCTGTACGCGCCAGCTGCTGTGCCAGGTATGCTGCTGCTCAAGCTCTTTGGCTTTCTGCATTCTGCACTTCTGCCTGGCGCACACACACACACACGTCTTTGAGTGCCATTAAACGTCTAAGGAGGTGATTCATTAAGCAATGCCCTCTCTCAGCCACAGAGCACCTGTGCCAGTAATGCCTGAAGCTTTCAACAGGGATAAGATTAATCCTTGCCTAAATGCGTGAGAACGCAGAGTACACCATAAGCCCAGAGCGGTGTTCAAAGGGGAGGCCTCTTCCCCTCCACGCTCCAGCCTAAGCGTCTGATGTTACCTGAAAATGTCTGTGTTCCCTTTCCTTACAGCTGGGGAAAGAGTGAGGACGATCAGCTCCTCTGCAGAGCTGAAGCTTGCAACAGGCTAACAAACTAGCCAAAAGATCCATTTTGGTAATGAGTAATTTTATAATCACTATGACTTAACAAAAATCCCATTTGATGGGCTACGAGATTAATTTTTGTCGCGTCTTATTTTTCTGTCTAGAGCCCCATCCACTGAGGCCACTATTTGTGCTCAAACGTCAGCAATCATTCCCCTGAAAATTAACCCATGCATTTCAAACCAAAATCTGTTAATCATTTGCAATGCTTTCGAGCATGTGCTTAAAGAGCAGAGATTCTGATTAGGAGTAGGTGGATTTGATTCACAGCATAAGGTTAATCTGAAGGTGTTAAATCACGCATACGTATGCCCAATAAATAACCAACTGAATTCGGTGGCATTGTTTCCAGCAATCTGAGATTTAAGCTGGAACAGAAATAGGTTAGGATTTTAAATCAAATAAACAAAGCAAGAACGGGGAGATGAGAACGTAGTAGGCTTTGGCAGTTTCCACAGTCTGTTAGCAATCCGCATGTAGAATACAATACAGAGCATTTATATTTTAAAATGTCTGCAACAGTATGGCAGAGGCCTCTGTCTCAGCTCTGGGGGACACAGTTCTCTCCGCATCGCACGCTTGCACAGTAAGCTGCACGGCAAGTTTTCCTACACCGCCCCTGAAGTCCTCTTCTCACAGGAAAGGGCAATGAGCTCTCACCCACACCATCGGGCTAGCCTCCTTCAGCAGCACTCTGCACTGCAGGTGCATCTATGGTAGTTACGGTGCACAGACGCTTGTTAGCTGATGCCACTATCTTTGCACGGCAGGAACCCGACACGTGCCCGCTGCGTATGTGCGGTCTGGCTGCACTTCCTTCAGTGACTTTAACAAAAAGGGCTTTACATGGCCAGCACCTGGGCCAGCAAAAATATTCCTAAATGTTTCTCCAGTTTTAGAATGAAGCTAATGCCCTTTGCTCTGTTGAGAAGAATCAGTCATCCCTTAGGAATAGCTCTTTTTTCAAAATTATGTTTCTAGAGAAAAACCTTGTTGCTCCATAATGCCTGTATTGTTTTATCAGTTCAGCTGGTGGTTTAGAGGGCTTTCTCCACTAACATCGATTAGAAAAGTTGAAGGACTATAAATTACACAATTAAAGAATAAAACTGGTGCCACAGCCAAGAGGCCTCGGCTTCACCAGATTACTAGCTCGCCTCCATTGTTTTACTTGCCCGTGCAAAGTCAAAGTGGGGTTCATACTGTCCTCCCACTCCATAATTTGCCACCTGAAAAAGAGAAACACATTGCTTGTGAAGAAGAAAGAGACGGAGACAGAAGACAGGACTTACCCTTCCAAAATCAAAATGAGGCTCATACTGGCCTCCTACGCCGTAGTTGGCTACCTACGGTGAAAAGGAGAAGCACAAATAGCTAGTAAAGCAATATTTTATCTAGACCAGAAGCAGCAAGAAGTTGACACATACAATCTATAACCTTTGGATAGATGACGTTCACAGGAAATTACAAGTGCTCGTCAACTGAGCTGAACTGTACTGTATGCAGCAAAGTCCTACTGGGTTTAGTCGCAAATAGCTGATTTCACTGCGATTCCTCATCAGTTTAGAGCCAGAACGTGACTCTGAGCTTTGGGGACTCAGTCCCTCGCCAGTTCTCTCAACCACGCGCCAGCGTCCAGCCAAACCGCAGCTTAAACTTCCCCTCCCTTCCCTGAAAGCTCTCCTGCCCCTGCTGACTGGTAAAGCCATTCACCCGTTTTTGAGCACCTGCTGGAAATGCTACTCGTCTTCCTCATGACTTCCAGCTCCTTGAAACTAACTGGCACCTTTCAAGACGCCTGAAGACCTGGACAGCCACAGACCCCCAAGGAGACCCAAGCTCCTCGGCTACAGGAGCAGCAGCCCATCCAAGACCAGTACTGCAAGCGGTAGTTTCCCCACCGCTTTGAAGGTGTCTCACTCCAGGTAAGGACTCTTGTTCTCAGAGCAGCCACTAACGTTACTGTAACCTGCTCCCAGCCCTCCTCCATCCAGCAGCTGTCCTACAGCTGCCACAGCAGACACAGAGCAGTCAGTGACACCATCAGTTGTTTTCTCAGAACTGCGCGCA